GCATATTTGTCCTAAGCATAATTTTCTGTTTTAGATTATGCAATTTTACATTATGCCTAATTAATGCATAAATTTAGGATGGAATTATATTAGTTCCTATTTAAGTAGGACTTATGCATAAACTTTAGTTGCGGTAGTGCATGAATTTAAGCACGTTTAAGTCGCTAATTTAGTTCACCAATTTAAGCTTTAATCATAGGTGAACCATACAGTTTTTTGATTATACCCTACAATTTTTTTCATTTTATACACCAGACAGTTATACGTTAAGTGTATATGAATCGGGGAGGCATACTAGTTTTAATGGCCATGACTTAAGAACATCTTGTGCCACTAGTCTCCTTAAATTGATACTCTGTCTAAAGAGTTGGTTTTCAGTGAGACTTTGTCTTTGGTCAACTTTTCTTGGGGTATATTTGAAATTTCCCATCAATAGACTTTCAAACAACAAGCAGCAGACTTTGCAACAAGCAATAGACTTTTAAGTTTTAACAGCAGTAGAGTTTTAACAAGCAGTAGACTTTGCAGTAGATTTTTGCTTAAACTCTTCTTCTAATTTAATAGAAGACCTTTCCCAATCAAAATCAAATAACTTTAATAATACTAGTATTTGTCTCCGTGCGATGCACGAGAAATATGTTGTAAAATGGGTGTTTAATTCAAGATAAGCAAGAAGAACCGAGTGGGAACAATATATTTGTCCCCGTGCGATGCACGTCATAAAATTTAAATAACTTTATTGTTAATATTTTTAAAAAGAGTTAATATCTAATATAGTCCTCGAAGATTTGCATTTATACGTGGATCGTAATAAAGGGAAGAAGAAGGAACCATCCTAAATGGGAAGAAGGATGGGAAATTACCATTAGCACCCTATTTCTAACAGTCAACTAACAAAATTTTTAACAAAGGACTAAATTGTGTAAAATCATCAAAGTCGATGACTAAATTGAGCACAAAAAGTCATTTAGGACTAAATTGAGCAAAACCGATATAGTAGATGACTATTTTGGGTATTAATTCTTTTTAAAAAATGATAAAATTAAACATTAATGATGAAAATTTATTTTGAAATGTATTTTTCTTTAGCAATACTAAATTGGTTTTTATATTAAACATTATCACATACTATTAACATATATTATAAAGCATTGTGTTATTAGATACCACATGAGATAGTTATGAACAGATAATACATTGTAACATAGTGGGTGGTACTAAAAAAAAAAGATATCACATGAGATTTGAAAAAATTGACATTTATTCAATTCAAACTATATACAATAAATTAGAAATTCAAATTATATATATACAATAAATAAAGAATTTTTTATTTTCTCATGAGAAAATATAAATGATATTTCAAAATTTCAACATGAAATTTCAAAATTAGAAAAGTATGAATACTCATGATCCTTTACAACCATTTAATGAAATTGGATGTTGTTTAAGAAATTAAAGTTTATTATATATGAAAATATCAATGATTATTATGTGATATTTAAATAATCTACAAAGTAACATTTGTAATAACAAAGCTTATTTTATAAATATTTGGATATTACTTAAGATATAAATAATTAAATATATACAAAAATTAAAAATTTATTCAAAATATGTTCAAATGATATAATTATTAGTATGACACTTATGTGACGTACATACTAAAAATTTAAAATATTAAATTATACAATGTTATTAAATACTATTAATTTTATTAAATTTTATATATAAAAATGTGATATGAGCTTTATTCACACACACACACACAAAATAATATTTATCCTATTTTTTTAAAGACAAATTTTTATACACACAGACAAAACTTAACCCTACCCATCTTCTCTGCAGCCCTCACCCATTGCACTCTCTCAACCTCTGACTTCTCTCATGGTCTCTCTCTATCTCGAAGCATCGGCGTCTCCGCTTCTCCTCCCTCGGTGTCTCCGACTCTCTTTCTCAGCAATATTGTTAGAGTTACAATTAAAAAGAGTAAAGGTCAAATAATAGCAAATAAAAATAAAAATATCTTTATAACATTGCACATAACTAAAAAGAATATAATTAAAATGTTAAGAGGATTCTAAGATAAATTTAAGAAATTTAGATTCTAATCATTCTGAATAAAGCCTATTGAAGTTGAAGTTGTAATATATAATATAAATAATATTTATCTATATAATATATAACATTGAAAATGAAATAGGAGAATTTTACTTTTAATTATATATATAGAATATATAGATTAGTCAATATTCATAATATAGACATATTATTTTATATTCAATTGACTCATAATTTAAATTATGGAAAGAATATACATTGATAATTGATATTTTGTAATTACGTCCATATTGCAATATGGAAAGAATCAATGGGCACGGTAATACATAATTGAAATTAATATATATTCTTCAAATATATTAATAAATAATCATGGTTGCTAGATTTAATGATGAGTTTTGATAAAAATAAAAATAAAAAATAAAAATTCAACAAACGTCCTATAGAGAATAAATTACATCCAATAGCAAGATGGAAGCAACCAATATAGAATAAAAAAATAAAATAGAAGTACAAATAAAATACAATTTTCACTGTAAATATGAACTCATATTTCATATTCTAATCACCAATTCACCATAATAGCATGGAAGTTAGCAGGGGTGAAGAAGCTTAATTTGCAATTGCAAAGCATATTGTAGATGATAGCTGGATTTATCCCTGTGTTTACAAAAGGCATTAAAAGTGGTTGAGAATTTAACGTGCTTGAGAAAGTATATATCAAAAGTCCTTGATTTACAAAGGATGGATGCCTCTAAATGTTGAAATATATATATATATATATATATATATATATATATATATATATATATATATATATATATATATATATATATATATATATATATATATATATATATATATATATATATATTAAACCTACTACATGCGAGAGTTATTTCTCTCTAAAAGAGTAAAACCAAACCTTGCAATAGTTGGGTGCAATGAAATACAACAAGAAAGGCAAAAGTAAAACATACGAAAAAAGATCAGATTATGATGATCATAACTCTAACTCTCAGCTCCTCTGTATTCTTCTGAGTTAGTTATCATAAATGGCTGTTGTTACTCACTCCAATGAAATGCTTACGACCAGTTTCAACTCGATCTTAAACCACATAGTGCTGATCTGCTAGATATTTCCAACCCTTTGAGCTTCACCACTAAGTCAACATGATCCTTAAGAGTGTGCATCTCCCAGAGCCTAATTTGACATTTGACATTAAGATAAAAGCAATATAAGATGAGAGTTTGAGAATGCATTCTGCAGAGTTTATATAGAATAACATTATCTGGCCATCTCAGATTTCCTCTTTTCTTGCTCCGCAACCGGGAACGATGACGGTGATCCGCCATTCTCGGAAAAACGTTAGAGAGAGAATATGATTTTTGAATCTCTCGAGTAGTTCACAGGGGAATGGCAAGCCCAAGTTTGGTTATATTGATCATTTTATGGGCGGTGGAAGGATTTAAATAACAAATTCTTATGCTATTACCATAATTACCGTAATTAATAATTATTACATTAATACCTAATTTATATTTCAAGAATATTCTGTGGATCAAATCCATTGTTATGCACAGATTTATATTTACATAATTAATATTTAATAAAGGTAATTATTACCCTACTACCTAAGTGTTACCTTTTTTTTTTTTGAAAGGTACCTAATTGTTACCTAATTTGTCTCATATATGACTAAATTTAAAATTACTACATATATATAAAAAAGAAAAAAAAAATTTCTCTCTAGGTTTCTAGGGTTTTTCAAAGTTCCACTCCTAGGGTTTCCAAGGCTTCCACGTTTCAATCGGTAATCCACTCCGGTGATTCTTACCGGTTCTCGATCAAGCTTCTGGGAAGGACGTGCTGTTCGGCAGTGTGATGGAGGAGCAACTTGCAGGCGGGGCTGTGGCAGCTATCACGGCAAGATGGGCGGATTTAGCGATTGAGGAGGAGGATGCCGCACCCTTTGCGCCTGTGTTGGATGCGAATGAGGTGGTTGCGGGGGAGAAGGCGGAGCGGTGGTTGTTGTTGGGGAGGTTCCTGACGCATAAGCTTGTGAAGGTTGAGTATATGAGACAGGTGATGGCGGCGGCTTGGCAGCCGGTTGCGGGTATGAGGTTTCGGAGATAAAGCCCCGGTTGTTTTTATTCACTTTTCACCATGTTACTGATTTACAAAGAGTTCTGAATGATGGACCGTGGGCATTCGAGAATGCAACATTGGTATGTGATCAACTTGTGGATGGGGGGTTTCCCGATGATGTGAAGTTGGATACGGTACGGATGTGGATACAGGTTCATGGTTTGCCAATGGGATATACGCCTGACAAGATCCTGGAACAGATAGGAAATTATCTTGGTACTTTTGTAAAAGGAGATGACAGGTTTGCAGGTGCACCCTGGAAAGTGTTCTACCGGATCCGTGTTGCAATACCGGTAGACAAGCCGTTGAAACGAAGGCTGAATTTTGTTAAAAGGGATAAGTCTACATGCTGGGTGACTTTCAAGTATGAGCGTCTGCACAACTTTTGCTATTACTGTGGAAAACTTGGTCATTTGTACAAGTTTTGTCGAATGGCTAGAGATTCAATTTTACCGGTAGAAGAATATCCATATTCCGCAGATCTTCGGGCGGGGATAAAGAGAGGGCCGAGGGCGGTTGGGGAATATTGGTTGACGCAGGTGGAGGAGCAGATGCCCCGGGATGAGGGACACGCCGTGGGACAGTCCGGGGGGACTGGTTCGGGAAATCCGAATGGTGAGGGTGAGGGGGCGGGTTTAGTGATGGAAGCGGTTGCTAAGAGGCGTAGGGAGGAGTATGGAGTGGAGGAGGGGAGGCGAGTTGGAGGGGAGAATGGAGATGTGGCTATGATGGATCTATCAAAAAACATGTTTGTGGCGAGAGCTGGATCGCAGCCCTGCCCATCCTCATGAGTACCCTCAGTTGGAACTGTCGTGGCTTGGGCAATCCACGAACAGTTCAGCAGATAGTGGACTGGGTGTCCAAAAAGAAACCAGATTTTGTATTTCTGATGGAGACGAAGGTGAGGCGGAGTCATGCGGAGAGGCTCCGAGTAAGAATAGGGTATGAAGGCTTGTTCTATGTGGACAGTAATGGTTTGAGTGGAGGATTGGCTTTGTTATGGCGTAAAAATAACATGGCAAAGTTGCTTACCTACTCAAGGAATTATGTAGATGTTGAAGTAATTGTACCGGGGAGTGCAGCATGGCGTATGACTGGATATTACGGCTATCCAGAGCGTACTAGACGGCAAGAGGCATGGGATTTGTTACGAACCTTGGCGAACCGATCACAGCTACCGTGGGTTGTGATAGGTGATTTCAATGATTTACTGTTCCAGAGTGAGAAACGTGGGGGAAACCCACACCCGAATGGTCTCCTACGCGGCTTTGGGGAAACCATAGATGATTGTGGACTGGCACAGATGCCCATGCAAGGGTATCCGTATACATGGAAGAAGAGGGAAGGGACGGAGGACTGGTTGGAGGAAAGGCTGGATAAGGTGCTGGTAACTGAGTCTTGGAGGAGTTTGAATGTGCAGGCCAGTGTATTGAATATGCTGACGCGCAGGTCTGACCATTCGGCTTTATATCTGGGAATCCGGGAAGATATAAGGGGTATGGGGCGGGGACCGAGGTGTTTCAGGTTTGAAATGTCTTGGTTACATGATGAGGGGTGTAGGGAGGTGGTGGAGAGAGCATGGGGAGAGGGGAGAGTAATGGGATTACAAGATTGTCTCCAGTTGTGTGGGAGGAGATTGACTGCCTGGGGACGAGACCGCTTTCATAAGTTTGGGGCCCAAATTAAACGATTGCAGAAGGAGCAGGACCGGTTGAGGGGAAGGCGGGATTTAGGTTCATTGGCTTAATTTCGTCGTCTAGAGACTGAGTTGTGCAGAGTGGAGGCGATGGATGATGCATTCTGGAAACAAAGGGCAAAGCAACATTGGCTGCAAGGGGCGGATGCGAACACCAGTTTCTTTCACAGGTATGCTTCTGACCGTAGAAAGAAAAATGCTTTGAATAGAATAAAAACTGCTGCTGGGGTGTGGGTGGAGGGGAATGCAATGAATCAAACTGTTATGGACTATTTCAATGGGGTTTTCAGTTCGGGAAATGCCCGAGATGTAACTAGTACCTTGTTTGATATGATACAACCCAGAGTGACACAGGCACAGAATGAGACTTTAAATTCCCCCTTTACTTGTGAGGAGGTAAAGAATGCATTATTTGATATGTTCCCTGATAAATCCCCGGGACCGGATGGAATGAATCCGGGCTTCTATCAAAACTTCTGGGATGTGGTGGGGGGTGATGTTTCTGCCTTTATTGTTAATTGTTTGGATAATGGATCCTTCCCCAAGGAAATTAATAGTACGAATGTGGTGCTAATTCCAAAAAAGAGCTTGCCTGAATATGTAACTGATCTACGGCCAATTGCATTGAGTAATGTGGTGTACAGGGTGATGGCGAAAGTGATAGCAAATAGAATGAAACCTTTAATGGAAGGTTTAATTTCTGATTCCCAGAGTGCCTTCATACCGGATAGACTAATAACGGACAATATATTAATAGCTGCAGAGGTGGGCCATTATTTGAATAAAAAGCAGTGCGGTGTGGCGGGATGGGGGGCCTTAAAATTGGATATGGCTAAGGCGTATGATCGGATGGAGTGGATTTTTCTGCGAAAGATGTTAATAGCCCTGGGATTTAATGAAAAGTGGATTGATTTGATAATGAATTGTGTCACTACGGTCTCTTATGAATTTTTGATAAATGGCCTCCTAGCGGGTCAGGTGATACCAACCAGGGGATTGAGGCAGGGGGATCCTCTGTTACCATATTTATTTATAATATGTGCAGAAGGATTATCTATGCTATTGCAGCAGGCACAACAACGAGGCATGATACATGAATGCAGAGTAGCCAGGGGAGCACCGCCAATATCTCATTTGTTCTTTGCAGATGACAGCCTGCTTTTCTTTAAAGCAAATATTGAGGAAGCCGTGGAGGTGAAACGGTGCTTGATGGAATATGAGGCCTTATCCGGACAGGCAATAAATTACCATAAATCCAGTGTGTGTTTCAGTAAAAATACAACGGAGGATTGCAGGGATCAAGTGGCGCAGCTTTTGGGTGTTCCGAAAGCAAGTAATTTTGGCAAATATTTGGGCCTACCTTCGTTTGTTGGGCGGGGAAAGAGGGCGGTGTTCTCGTATATTGAGGACAAGATAAAACAGAGGATAGGCACATGGAATAAAAGGCTGTTGTCTCAGGCAGGAAAGGAGGTCCTTTTGAAAAGTGTATCACAGTCAATGCCTACCTTTTCTATGAGTGTTTTCTTGCTCCCTGAGGCAGTATGCCAAGCAATTCAAAGAGCAATGAATAAGTATTGGTGGGGATCTGGGGGGACCGCCGTATTCACTGGAAAGCTTGGGACAAGTTGTGTGTCCCGAAGAAATATGGAGGTTTGGGTTTCAAAGACCTGCGAGCTTTTAATTTAGCAATGTTGGGTAAACAGGGGTGGAGATTTCTGATCAAACCTGAGTCCTTGGTAGCAAGAGTTTATAAGGCAAGATACTACCCAAAAACATCTTTTGATGAGGCAGTCTTGGGGAATAATCCTAGTTTTGTTGGCGGAGTATTTTTGCGGCACATAGCTTAATTTGTGGTGGGGTAAGAAGGAGAATAGGGAATGGAAAAGATACTTTGATATGGGGGCACCCATGGCTACCCGATGGCCCAGATCCTATGGTTCAAACTGTTATGCCCCAAGAGTTAACAGGTGCAAGAGTAGTGGGTTTGATTGATCAGGATACTAGAACCTGGGATCCACATATACTCAGGGGCTTATTTATGGAAGATGATGTGACACGGATATCCAGAGTGCCAGTATGCCCGGATTACCCGGACATGTGGTATTGGCAGGGGGACCCAAATGGAAATTATACAGTAAAAGGAGGATACAGGCTTGTTGTTGGAAATTATGAGCACAGGAACGGGGAATTTGATGCCTGGCTACGTATGTGGAAATTGAAAGTACCACCCAAATGGAAATTATTTCTGTGGAAAGTTTTGAGTGGTGTTCTCCCCACCAAAACTAATCTTATTATGAAGAGAGTAGAAATTGAACCGACATGTTCAATGTGCACGAATTATCCCGAATGTACAATGCATGCTTTAGTGTCTTGTGATTTTTCACAGGCAGTATGGCGGGAATCCACGTTGCCTATTATGCATATTATGGCTGATTCTTTTGAGGCTTGGTTTCTTGAAATTATGAAAGAACTCACCAATAATCAATTTATTATGGCAGCAGCGGTTCTCTATTATATATGGTGGGCAAGAAACCAAGCGGTATGGGAGCATGCTCTACCGACGCCCAAACGAGTGTTAAATGCGGCGACATCTGCGTGGCAAGCGTGGAGCATGGTGCATGGAGGACCAGCTGTGGTGCCACAAACCGAACCCACTGCCGCGGCTGGAGGCGGGCTGCCGAGAGTGTACGTCGATGCTGGCTTCCACGCGTCGGACGGAATGGCGACGGCAGGCGCGGTTCTAGTCTCAAGCGAGGGGGAGTTTATGGCATGCTTCAATATGCGGTTACCTCATTGCCTGTCCCCATTAATGGCAGAAGCGTTGGCATGTAAGGAAGCATTATCATGGTTGAAGGATAAGGGATTGCTCGCGGTACAGTTACATACGGATTGTCGTAATCTACAACACCACTTGACATCACAAGCCACACGGATGCGAACATATATTGGCTATATCATTGATGGATGCAGGACTATTTTGTCATCTTTAAATTTATGTTCTGTTATTTACATTCCTAGATTAGAAAATCTTATGGCGCACTCATTAGCGTCGCATGCTTTTACGCAGACTCATACGATGTACTGGGATACTATCCCACCAGATTTTATTGCAGCCTATCTCTAATATAATCACCTTCATTGGTGGCTTTCAAAAAAAAAAAAAAAAAAAAAACCTAATATATATTATTCACACGAAATTTTCTTAATCTTGTATATGCACACAGAATATCCATATAAATAAATTCTATAATGAATTAAATTTTATAAACTAATTAATTAATTACCATAATATTCTTTCTTTCCTTAACTAATTAGTAAGACATGGAACATTTAGGAAATATATATAGAGTAATAAGTATGCATACACGGATATGAATAATATATAATTTCTATAATTAATCGGATATGAATAATATATAATTTCTATAATTAATTAAATTTAAATATTACACAAACGCCTCTAAGTTTTGAGAGAAAAATTTAAGAAGAAGAATTTTACTTTTATAGATATAGATTTTCTACTAAACATAAAATAATATTTTAATTTCACAACTCTCAAAATTAAATATTATTTAAGTTTAATAACATGTTTGAAATTCTGAAACATACATTTACTATATAAATCTCTAACACTCTCTCCCCCATTTTGTGAGTAGCATACAAGTCATTAGTTGTGTTTGGCATAATTTAAAAAAAAAAAACGAATAAAATATAATATGTATTCCAAATTCGACATTTATTAGCAAAAGTAAAAAATTAGTGGAATTTAAATTTTTAAAAAAGATGACATTATTTCATTATATAATAGACTAAGAAAAAAAGTACGAAAAAATAAAATAAGACATAGGTTATTTCCAATGGCATTAATTCACACTAAATCCAACTTAACAGACAAAAAAAAAACATGAATTGAATATTCAATAGTTTAACTGTGTATTTTATTTTTATAAAAAAATAACAGTGTATCATCAAATTATCATAAGGTGCTTCACAGAATAATTGTGTATTTAAAAATTGCAACTTGTATTAAACAATGTCATTTGTTACAATTGTTAACAATTGTATATTACATTTAATAATTATTAATTAATGAATTAAATCAGCAGCACACATATATTATTTAGATGCGTTACGTTATTATAAAAAATTTAATACAAATAGAAACGTGTATTTATTACCTACTAACACAAAGGTACAAAATGTCAAAGCATGACGCTGATGCTAGATAATATAGAGCATTAAATCCGAAAGAAAGCGACTGTATGAATATCAAACAAGTTAATAAGATGTACAACTCTCTAGAAATCTGATATTACTATGTCAACCAAGCAATTTAATTTGGTACGTTAATTTTTATGCAATTAATTTTTTTTTTTTTTTAAAAAAAAAACATAACGTACGTTAGTTGCACTTTCAATTTATAAGATACATTTATGGATGTTAAACAGGTCCGTCTGTTAAGTTTCGGGCTAGCTCTATCGAACTATTGGACTTATTCGTTCAGCCTAATCGATTTTTAAATTATCGGGTTCAAAATTCTTAGCCTAATCCTAAAACCTCATATGTTCGACTTATCGGACAGATTTAACTAAAACTTTTGACATTTTCAAATTTTCAATTTTAATAAACTAGCTCATTTACAATAATGAATATACATTTATTTAGAGTTAATTAAATTCAAGAATGGTCCATTGACTATTGACATTTATCAATTTTTATCGTTAACTTTCGGTTTGACCATAAATAATCTATTGACTATTGACATTTACCAATTTTCATTCCCGACTTTCAATTTGACAATAAATGATCATTTGACTACTGATTTTGTACCAAATTTTGTCTTCCATTTAAATATTCATTTAGTGAACATTAATTTAATGTAGAAATTGGCTTGTTGTTGAGAAGGGCAAATTGAGTTTATAAACTTAATAGATTGGGTTCATCATTAGTGAGAATGTGAAGAACCAAATTTTTACATTATTATCCATAAATTTAGTGTTTACTAAATTGATATTTATTTAAGTGGATGACCAAATTTGAAACAAAATCAA